CTGCTGGCTTTTCTCTTCCCTCAGCTGTCAAGCAGTAAGTACTCTGGGGATCAGATTCAGGCTTCACTTGCTCTCTCTATTCAGTAACTATAAGAGTACCTTGTTTGTTGTGAGTACTTGGTAAACATTTGTGGGAAAAATTAATGGGTCACCAGATGGTGACAAGAGTTTTCAAGTTAATTTTAACATTGAGAAAAGCCAAAATGACTTCAAATGTGTTCAAAGTGACTTGTTTCTCACAGAAACTATCACTCTGTTAGTAGCAAGGAATCAGAGGCTAATATAGAAAGAAGATACAGGAGTCATTTAGGATAGCTATTAAAAACTCAGTGTGATAACACAGCCTATGTCCTGAATATCAAAGCAGCTAAATGACCATGCCATGTATTAGACTAATAAGAAGTATGAAAACAAACTAAAGGTTCAAATGAAGCTAGCTTATTTTTTTCCTCAGTGGCAGAGTAAAGGTTAGGAACTACTGAACCGGAAACTAACCGAGATGAATTCTGCTCTTGGCTCTGACCAGCTCAGATTGCTATTGGTAAGTCATATAAAGAGCATACGGAGCAGCTCACTAATATATTCCTTCCTCATCTATTGATTTATACAGCCTGAATTTTATATATATTGATGATTATTTTCAGCTAAAAATGTCTAATCTATACTTTGCACCCTCTCTTATAGCTAGAGGTAGTCATATAATATACCTCTGACCATGTGACTGTACAAAAAAGTAATGGATGGCTGGTGAGATGGTTCAATAGGTAAAGGGGCTTGCTGTCAAGCCTGAAGACTCTAAGTCAACTTTTGAGACACACAGAGTAGGAGAAGAGACTCCTGCCACTTGTCCTCTAACATCTACATGCCATTACATATATATGTCCACATACACATAGTAAGTCAATGTAAAAAGAAAAGGATTATAAAAGACTATGAGCTGGTACCTGATTCTTTCCTTTGTTTTAGCTGAAAGTGTAGGCATAAGGCAGGAAGGATTGTGGTGGCCATACTGAGAAAAGGGACCCTCCGATGCCTGGCTGTGCTCATCTGTTCTGTGTTACTATAACAAAATATCTAAGGCAGGGTTCTTACAGAGACACTTTTTTTGCCTCTAAGTCTGGTGACCGCTGTGCTGGTGAAGGGCCTCTGGCTCTGTCATAGCATGGCAGAGAAGCAGACAGAGAAATGGTCATGTACAGAAGGGGCACATGAATAAGGAAGAGTGCCAGAGACCAGAGAGGAATCAGACACAGACTTTTTCTAACAACCCACTCTTAGAATTGAGTCCATTCCCATCAACCAGACCCTGACCTCTCACAGGAGACACCATTAGTTTACTCTTGAGGGAGCCTCTGACATAATTGCCTTGCACTAGACTTCATTTTGTGAATGTTCCATGACCCCAACACTGCAACATTGGGGACCAAACTTACTCCATGTGAACCTTTAGGGAACCAAGGATATCCAAACCATAGGGAAGACATTCCACTCCTTTATATAATTTTGGTGCCACAATAGCACAGTTATACTAAGAGTTAGTTAGTTTTTTTTTTTTAATTAGGAACTAAACCTGTGTCTTCATGTCCTACACATGGGGGATGTACCTTACCACTGAGCTATAGCCCCAGAAATTTTTATTATTAATATGATACTTACATCCTGAGAAATGATGGAAAGCTGAGAACCACTGCCATGGAGAGTTGGCTAGCCCCTCCACACCTTGAGAAGCCAGAATCTATAAATCATGGTGTGGACTTTTGCCAGACCCCAAGCCGGCTATTACCTCCACTTAGGATTTTCCAGCCTCCAGCAATGTGTAGAGTTAAGTGTTTGCTGTTTCTAAACTACTCTGTGGTGTTACATTGTAGCAGCCACCATATCTCAAGACAAACATGATTCTCTGTCTCCCCATCAAAGGTTCAGTTTTTCTGCCTTTACTTTGCAGTCTTTACCCAGAGAGGTTTTCCTTGTAAATGACACTCACCAAATCCCCAAATATGGATTAGACTCGCAGTTGAAAACAGAGCCATATTTGGGGGAGGCAAAATGACCTTGCTTTGTCATAGCTTCGCTAAGAGATCAGGCTTCTGGCCTGCCCACTGAGATGTGTCAGTTGCAGCTCACCAACTGTTGCATGACACCAAGGATTTTAGGAAGGGCAGTACAAATCTTGTCACCCAGTGCCAATAGACCAGTCTGTTGAATTTACCACATGACTCTGACAAGAAGGCACTACATATACCTGGAGCTCCACCCTTTTGCTCTGGGAACCTGATAAATGACACACATTAGCTCTTGAAAACCTGACTTTCCTCTGTCTAGCCTTGTTAACTTTGTACAGATGGCTGAGGACACATTCACATGCGGCTGCCACTCATTGTTAGTCTACTGACTGCTTCACGTAGCCTGCCACTCCTCGGACTTGTCCTAAAACACCAGTTTTAGTGTCAGATAGGTATTGCTGTAGGCATGAGCTTTCCACATGGTTCAGAGGGGAATACAGAGCTCACAGTGGATGTTTCTTCCATCTCGAGGGACACAATCCCAACCAAAAAATATCTCAACCAGCAAATGCCTATCTTAACTCTCTTAGCACAGAGATGCAACTGAAGAGTGTCATCACCCTACTCCAAGGCCTAGGTCACACCACTACGAGGTAGGAGGGGGACAGTGAGGATGGGTACCTACGTAAATTCTTGAGAAAGGGGAACTGAGGATGCTGGGACTTGTCTTGAATTTTGGTGAAAACAAAGGATCTCTGGTATTCCATAATTCTTAAACTAGGCCTCACTTTTTTTTTTCAAATACATTTTATGAATATGAACATAAGCAGGAGGTCAAAGGTCCATGTGTTGTGGGCTAAAGAAGTCCACTCTGGCCCAGTGCGGTATGGGCCATCTTGGAGAAGTGCTTAGTCATTGTGCACCTGAGGTAGGTGCTAGGTAGTCACAACAATTCATAGAAAGGCAGCGTGTAGCCAAGACACACAATAGGCATCCTTGGTGGTTGCTTTTGAATAAGAAATGATATACGTATATTGTTTTTGCTCTTTAGAGAGTTTCCAAAAATATCACTTATTGTAAGTTTTACATGAGAATATGAGTTTGAGAAGAAAGGTTCATTCTCCAGTGGTATGGTCTCCTCAAGTGGACAAGGACACTATAAAACCAAAAAGTAAATGGCGATGCAGAGGCAGCCTCCACAACCTTCCTGGAGGCTGGCATGCTGCTCTTTCCATCTTCACGGTCCTGCTATATGAAGGGCTTTTCCTTTGCTTGGAATAGCTGCTACTCATATGAATCTTTTTAGATTTCACTTCAACACTATCCACTCTAAGTCTCTTTATTTGATGCAAAGTGATAGTAGCCTATGGAACACCAGCTTTTCTTAATTCTCATTTCTCCAGCTCTGTCCTATGAAGACAGAAAACACTGGCCCCAGTGTCTATACAATGTCAAGAACTCAGTAAATCCTTAATGAACAAACGAATGAACTTCCATAATCCCCTCCTCTGAGTTCTGCAGCAAAATTTGCTCTTAACATTCATTTAGCATTTGAATATGTTAAACTGACCGTAAAAATGAGAAATAATATGTCTATTTCCCTTGGACCATAAATAGTCTGACTTAAAATGACTTCATACTTCTCATTTCCTTCCATAGTTTAGATGCTCAACAAATGTTAATGATAAGAGGATATATACCAACTAATTTAATGGCTTACTCACATGTGAATTCTCAAGTTTCAATATATAATATGCAATGTATACATACCATATAGACACCTGTGCACACAAATGTATATATTCGTTGAGCATCTATGCTTATGCTATTGGTACACAGGAGAAAGAGCCAGAGATCCTGATGAGAAAGTCCTATCAATGAATACAGATGAAGCAATCAAGTTTTCTAACAAATAAAGCAATTGCTTCTCATGACAGAGCAATATATATATATATATATATATATATATATATATATATTTAGTGAGTTTTCATATGTGCTCTGTGCATCTATCTCAAGTACCACATTTCCTTGGGACTGTCACAGTATTCATCAATGGATTCAGATTTGTCACCCAAACAATGAGTTAATGTAGCAAATATCAGTTTCCCCAGGTATATGCCAAAGTAGACAAGAGACTGTAACTCCTCAGGGTGTTTTATGTGGCCAGCTGGTAGATCACAGACATAAAGGGCCATCTGATGGAAGGGTGTAAATGGTCACAGTTATTCATACTCCTACTGTAGGGGTTTTATAAATAAACTAATAAATATTTTCATCTTGCAATAGGATCAAGTTAAGTGAGTTGCTGACACTCTCTTGAGGCTTAAGGCTTGTCTTTAATGTGAAATACAAATCATATTTCTTGTGGACATATTTTAATAACAAACTCAAAAGCACATGTGACTAAAATACAGAAAACATTAGGATGAAAACCAGAAAACTATCTACCACTTCAAAAGGAGCGAATGAGGATGGCTCGTCAACACCCCAATGGCAACAACCTCAACACAAAATGCCACATGTGGAAATCGGGCTTCAAGGAAAGAGAGTCAGTAAGGATGGGAGGCTGACAATACATTTACGTGAGAAATAGGTAACTGACCACATGCGAAAAGCACTTATCTAAACACACACACACACACACACACACACACACACACACACACACACACACACACACACACACACACAGAGAGAGAGAGAGAGAGAGAGAGAGAGAGAGAGAGAGAGAGAGAGAGAGAGAGCTTGAGGGCACTCTTGATTTTGGCTTAACTGATTTCCTACCTTTTTGCAAAATCCCACTGCCCCTTTCAAGAAAAATAGCTTTGTGTCTTTTAAACTTAATATTGGACGCTGAATCTGAATCTCCTTGGCGCCTAAATTCTAGACTACCCTCAGACATAAGAACTGGAGCACTTACTGTCTCCCCACTTTGCTACTCTGAGCTCAAGATTATGATGCTTACACCTTGTGGTTCTCTGTGGAGCAACTCACCTCTGGGTCCTGTAATGACAGGTCGGTGATGCTGTGTGAATGCTGTTCCCAGGGAGGAGGTCTGCGAAGGGGAGGGGCTGCTGAAACCGGACTTCTCAGACTTCTTCAGTGTGGTTGGAGATGGCATGCCTGGTGAGAAGGGTTGATTGTTGAGGCAACTTTAATCTACAGAGCAACAATTTGTGTGACCCAAAAGACAACACTGAGAGAGTGGCAAAAGAGATAAAATGGAATCATATAGAAATGGAGATTTATACTTAATTGCTTTCAATTTGTCACAGGAACAAACAGGTAACAGAATCACTCCCCTTTTAGGTGGTTCTACAATTTATTTCAATTTGTTGTATTAAGTCACGGCCCATTTGGGGGCTATTGGTTTTCTCCACATGGGGATTTTTGTGTCTTGGATCTTCAGTGTGCCCTGTGAAAGACCTTCATTTTAAGATCTTCATATTCAGAGTGGTTCTATTCTGGGGAGAAGAGCCTAAAGGGACAGGTCAAGGGGAGCGTCTTTAAGTCATTGGAGATATAGTACTAAATGTGCTCCTGGGAGCAGATCCCTTCCTCTTGCTCTATCTTGCTTCCTGACCAGGAGGTAAGCAGTTTTACTCACTATAGTCCCTCAGCCCCCACCTTGCCACCGAGTACCACTGAGTCTGGGAGGTCCACCTGAACTTGAACCAGATCCCTAAAACCATGAACTGATAGGATTCACTTCAAAAGCTGTTTCTCCCCAACCCTAGAAACTTGTTATAGTAATGGAAATCTGACTTATATAGGCTTCAACTTTTCCTGGGAATCTGTCACATGTCTGTGACCTCTGGGACCCGTACAAAGGAGGCTGCCTAAGCACACAAAGACAGCCTCACATGCAATCATTTTGTCTTGTCAGTTACCTTATTTCAGCACCAAAGCATTTTTCTACACTTTAAATAATTTAGCTTTTTTTTAACATAAAAATGCCCTTGATAATAGCAGTTCAGATGTTCTTTCAGTGAATTATTTATAGAACAGAAAAAGAAAAGATAAAAGAAAGAAGAAGAAAAGAAAAACCTTAAGAGACAAGAAATTGGGACTGGTTCAGTAAATATGGCCCAGCCAATGCAAAGAATACTGTAAAAGAATAATGACACAGGAGGTGTTTATAATATAATGTTGACTGAAAAACCAATTATAACATGGTGTGTTGTAATACATCAAACATAGGACGGACAATTTAAGTGGGTTTTTTTCTATGCAGAGAAAGAACTAGAAGATATGTGTGAACTATAACCATGGCTCCCTCAGCGAGTTAAATTTCTATGGTTTTCCTTGCCTTCACTTTCCTTACTTGCCTTTTCTATGATGAACATATATTACCTTTATGCTAAGAAAATACAACAAAAGCTTGTTTTTAAAAATAGCATTTTTTGCTCCAGAGTCTAGGGTTTTCACAACACTTCAAACTTGGAGATGCTTTGGAAATAAAAATGGTGGGGAAATAATAGAAAACAGTCCCTTGTAATTACGGGATCTGTGGTACTCTCCACGACCATGCTGACAGACACAGCTGGAGGCGGCTGTCTATTTGGGAGAGCGCCACTTAAGACAACAGAAATTTGGACGTAAAAATAAAGGAAATGACTTCAAGTCTCCATATCATAGGACAAATCTGGGATCTCAAGTTTCCAGCATAAAATCAGTCTGCACTGCATCAGAAGAAGAAAGGTTCATTTATATACGTCTGCCTATGATTGTTTTGTCAACTGATTGTCTGAGAATTATTTGAGCAAACTAGAAAAATAAGTAATAGTTTTATTGATATTAATACACAGCTGACACTGAGTAATTGCTAGAACCATGAACTATGGCAAGCATTTTTACAGACAGAGACATGGCCCAAATGTCAGCTTGTTTGGCTGTACCTAAACATATCTATTAATTTTTTTTATCAGAGATTAAATTGATTCTATAACATGATATCCAAATACATATGGATTTAAAGTGTGTCTGTTTTGACCTTCTCCAAGATAAAGATGTTGATCAAAGGTTCCCGAAACATATCAAAGGGTCCCAAAAGATTCTGTGTGTGCATGTGTACATAATTGTGTGTTTGTGTGTGTGTATGCATGTGTGATCTTTAAATTCCCTGTACAGATTTCATTACCTGTGATTTCACAGACAGATGCCTTGGTATAACAAAATTCAAGTTTTTCATCCCAAGAGAAACTATTTAGTTCATTTTCGGTCAGATGCAAGTACAAAATGGATGGCTGTGCGATTTCATGTATTCATACTCCTGAATAGAATAATTTCTATGTGAATTAAAAATAAAGTCACTGGTCCAGTGTCATCAATTACAGTTGTTTGTCGAAAAATCTGCAGACCACATCATACCAGTGTGCTCACAGGTAAGTGCACACTGAGGTCATAGATGAACACTCACTGCCAGTGACATGCACAAGATAGTATGAACCGACTGCAGTTGGGAAAAAGCCTTCAAAGAAAAAAAGTAAATGATAAGATATTTAAGTGTAGACAAATCTCCCAAGTCATTCAAACCTCTGTTGCACAAATGAAGTTTTAAGTTGCTACTGATTCTATTTTAAATTCAGTCAAATGCATGAATTACATGTTAGGAAAGACTCAGAAATAGAATAGCATTGACAAATGTCAAAACTTTGAAGACTGCAGATTTTATTTTAGTTTTTGAACAATGGAGTCATGGTTGTAATTCATGGTATTGAACCAACTTTCGAAAGGAGCAAATGAATGACTCAAGTAAGCTGTGATTTCTTCGAAGTGTTCATCTTTCCTCTCCAGGTTTGATGTGTAAAAGTGAAACTTTAAGTACAACTTAGGCAGAAACAAATAAAGAATAAAAAGAATGATCACGTTGTTAAATGAGTTTTTTTTTTTAATAGCAAAATATGGGCTTTTGAAAAGCTCACTGTTAAGCATTGCCACTCAAGCATGAAGGGAGACCTGAATCAAAATCCCAAGAACCTACACAAAGCTGGGTGAAGCCATGCTTACTTAGTTCCCACTCTGCTATGACATGATGAAAGGCCCAGGTAGGAGAATCTCTGGAAGCCTGCAGGCCAGCTGGCCTGGAGGACACAGTACAGCATCACAGACAGTGAGAGACCCTGCCTAAAACCAAACTGGGAGGGGAAGCTCACATCCAGGTTGTATTCTGACCTCCATATGCACATTGTAGTGTGAACGCACGCACGTACGCGCGTGCGCGCACACACACACACACAAACACACACACACACACACACACACACACACACACACACCCCTTTTAAATTCTCCTTGAAGGAGTTAAAGAGAGAAGAGGCTCAGTCAGCAAGCAAGAACAACAAGCCAGACTATGTCTAATCTTCTAAATTTATCACAGTCAAGTAATGTGAACCCTAAGGCTGTCATGAAGCTTAAAATTACTTTGTGTTTTCAATTTTTAAAGACTTATATTGAGTACGTTTCCTTATTATATACTTTAATATTTTTCTACATACATAATGTATGTTTTGGTTAATTTGTTTTGTATACTTAATTGACCAGATGAAATTTCAAAATCCTCGATGTTAAAAGCTACAGAACATCTGTCTTGGCTTTTGCTTTTGAAATAGTTTGGTGTCTGTACATTACTTTAAAACAAACTCCTTGTTAAAGCTTCTTTTACCCATCATATATGCACCAGGTTATATAATTACTGTACAAATAATAACTGGTAGGGATTTCTGTAAATGAATCCAGTCTTTAAAATTGATGTACTGTCTAGAGTAATGAAACTTTAAGAAAACTAAGACATTTGTCCTAGCGCCAAAAGGCTGAATTCTGTTGATGACTGTGAGGACTTGAAAGAGGACCCTAAGCTCCAGAAGGGAGTAAAGAAGGAACAAGGCTGTGGCTTCAGCCTTGGGAGAGACCGGAAGACATTGTTAGGCTAAATATCCTCAGAACCACTGAGAACCATGACCATGGAAATGGGACACACAACATGTGTGCTGCTTTCAGTTGCTAAGTATATTGCAACATGTCATCTGCAATAAGAACCAACAGGATTTCAAATATGTATAGCAACACCTGCAATACACACTTTCTAGATTTCACAATGTTTTTATAATTTTCACCTAACTAATCCTAAGTTGTAAGGTTTTCCTCTAGGATACGCCGAATTCAGTGAAAATGACATTACCTCTTAAAAGCACTACAATTTTCTTGGAGTCAGAAGAAGGGTATAATTAGTGGTTATTTAAAAAAAAAAGGATTAAACACTTCTGGAAATTGTTATTTTCCCCTTGATTCTTCTAAGAAATAGCTTTCAACAAATAAGATTAAATGATATTTAAAAAGTCTAAATTCTCAAGGTCTCCTAGAGAAATCAAGGTTTACTTTAAGCAATGAAGAAAGGAAATAGGAGAATCAAAATGATAATGATTTCATCCCCAGATTATGGGCTTATTAAAGACTTTGACAGAGACCTCTATAGTAGCAGCTGTGAAGGAATTGCCATAGGAGCTGGACAGTTGTCACTGCTTGAGAAGCCTCCAAGGGGCCACCTTCAGGAATTATATGAGCAGTGGGTGTATGGGAAGACATATCATAAACTTGAATTTTCAAGTGATAGTTGAATAGACATTTAATTCAATTAAATTAGTTAATTTATTTTATGTGTATGAATGTTTTGCCTGAGTGTATGCATGTGTACACTGCATGTGTACCTAATGCCTTGGAAGTCAGAAGAGGGTTTGGAGGCCCTGAAAATAGAATTGGGGATGATTGTGTGGGTGCTGGAAATTGAACTTTGGTCCTCTGCAAGAGCAACGAGTGCTCTTAGCTACTCAGCCATCCTGTCCCTTGGGCAGACATTTTAAGGACATCAAGGCAAGTGAGTGTTGCTGCTTATTTGGCTGAAGAGTTAGTAAAGATGTCATTTCCTTCTGACAGTTGCCCCTGCTACCATCTATAGGAAGCCCTGTCGCATATGCCCATTGCTGGAGTTTGGGGTAGGGATTCAAACTCCTTTCTTCAAAAATGTCATAATTAACACAGAAAGTTGAGTTTCAGGGGTGGTATTTTACAGTCAGAGTGTTTAAGAGAATATAAGCAATATGGTTTCTCATGTTGTGGGAACCACC